CTTCTACGAAGAGGCTAGCAAAGTTGTATGTGAGAGAGGTGGTCTCGCGGCATCGAGTTCCAATATCGATTGTATCGGATAATATCAACCACAGACTGACGGGCAGAGCGAGCGGAAAATTTAGACGCTCGAGGACATGCTCCGAGCATGTGTGTTGGATTTTGCCGGGAGTTAGGACACATATTTTCCCTCGACAGAGTTTTCATACAACAACAGCCATCATTCGAGCATTGGTATGCCACCCTTTGAGCTGTTGTATGGGAGGAGGTGTCGGACTCCCATTTGCTGGGGAGAGGTGGGCTAATGTGTAATGGGTAGTACGGAGATCGTGCTTCAGACGACTGAGCAGATACATCAGTTTAGGCAGAGGTTGTTGACCGCTTAGAGTCGTCAGAAGAGTTATGCGGATAGGCGTCGGTTCGAGCTCGAGTTTCAAGTCGGTGACTTCGTACTCTTGAAGGTCTCTCCTTGGAAAGGAGTGATCCGATTTAGGAAGAAGGGAAAGTTGGGGCCTCTATATATTGGATCTTTCAGGGTGATCGCGAGGGTAATTAGGGTAGCCTACCATTTGGAGCTACCTGCGGAGCTGGGTCAGATTCACGACACTTTTCACATGTCGCAGTTGAGAAAGTGTATAGCCGATGAGTCGGCTGTGGTACCATTAGAGGATATTCTGGTGGATGTGGGCCTGAACTATGTTGAGAGACCAGTGGAAATTAGGGATCGGAAGGTCAAGGTTCTAAGGAACAAGGAAGTGCCTCTGGTGCAGGTGTAGTGGTAGCATAGGAAAGGGTCAGAGCTGACATGGGAGCCGGAGCACGAGATACGTGAGCAGCATCCAGAGTTGTTTGTAGAATGAGTCTTCGAGGGCGAAGTCTGATTCTAGTGGGGGAGAATTGTTACATCCGGAATCCCAAGTATATTAGTCTAATATTTTGTTTTTGGAATTTGTAAAGGAACTCGGCGAGTTGATGCTTGGACTCGCCGAGTAGGGTCGTGGATTATCTTCCGGGTTCGCGTTTGGACTTGGCGAGTCCATGAGTGGACTCGACCTGTCCACACTGTATAATGAAACCCTAATCCTCCGTGGTTGGAGCTTATTTAAGGGCACTCTTAGCCTTCCATTGCGGCTACTAGTCCCTTGAGAGCACCCTTAGTGAACTAGAACGTTTGGGAGGAAGGAGAAGCCATATTTGATCTTTCTATCTTTGGTTTAGCAAGAAGAAGGTGATCAAGAGCAAGAGGAGACTGAAGGAGGTGTGATTCTAGTGATTTCAGAGTCCAGAGACTTTAACTTGAGGTATTTATTCGGACTTTCTTCAGTTTTGGTATTGATTCTTAGAGTTAGGGTTTTCTAACCTCTTTTGAGGATGATTATGTTGAGCAATTGGTCCCTTATCGAATTTATGCTTTGAATCTGGACTCAATGAGGTCCAGAGACCTTAACCCTTGGAGCTTTATGAGTTATCTTGGGAGTTATGAGCTTAGGATGCCATTTTTAGGGCTAAATCACCAAATGATACCATCTAGATGATATATGAGTGTCAAGGTCTGGACTTTACGTGATTATTATGCTTGGGAAGGACGGATCTATGGATTAGAGGAACAGATCTGACCTCAGGAGGTCAAAGGAGTTTGTGCATGGCATGTACTCGCCGAGTTGTTCTTGAGACGCGGTGAGTTAAGTCGAGGTAGCCCTGCAATTCTTATCTGGGGACTCGTCGAGTAAAGGGAGGGACTCGACGTGTTAAATGGTACTAAAGAGTTAAGTGGACACAGGTGGACTCGCCGAGTTGCCCAAGTGCACTCGCCGAGTCGGGTCAAAGTTTGACCATTGACTTTGGTTGACTTTTAGGGTTTGGTCAACAATGAGGGGCTTTGAGCCAAAGGAGGGGTAAAATGGTCTTTTACCCTTCCGAGGGTGCTTAGAGAGAGTAGAGTCTAGCTCTGAGAGTTATATTTATGAGAGTATTACTTTATGTGTTTAGGTGGAGGCTAGATCGTATTCCTACCGAGTCAGTGATTTACCGGGACATCTGAGGTGAGTCTTCTCACTATACTTTAGCTGGAGTGGTAATTAGAGTTATGTGCCAGAGTTATCGTATGCTATTATGTGATGTATTATACTGCATTGTTCTATGTGGTGTATATCATGTGTATATCAGAGTATATCAGAGTTAGACCAAAAGGTTCACAAAGTTAGGACCAGAGGGTCCACAGAATTATAGCCTTGAGTGGCTAGTATGTGTTATGTATGGTATTTTGGGGAACTCAGTAAGCTTTACGCTTAAAGTGTTATGTGTTATGTGTTTCAAGTACCAGTGATGATCGCGGGAAGGCGCCGGCATGACTCGTACACACGCATGGATTTTTATGTAGTTGATCTTGGGAAATATTTTTGTGAATCAAAGTATTGATACAATGGGATTTTGATTTTAAATGTGTTGGATAAAAATGTGTTTAAAAATGTGAAAATTTGTTTCATATTTTATGGTGTTACAATCTAAGCTATAACCAAATGTACGTAATAAAGCACCAGTGTCATGTCTAGTGAATGTAGTTCTGGTGATAGTTGGTCCAAGGTGGAAAGGTCATGAGTGCACCAGCGAGTGCACCGCCAAGGTTGGTCTTAGGACGAAAGTAGTTGCAAAATATGGTAATAGATGCATTGAAAGGAAACCTATTGTTTTAGAATGATATGTTAGGGTGTGTAGTGTTATGTTTAACCATGTGAGTATTTTTTTTTACATGAGCTCATCTTTTGATGTTATACCTGTAGGAGCATCTTTTTTTAGTTGGCTCATCTTTTGATGTTTAACTATGGTTGGATAGACTATGTTAGTGGAACCTATTTTTTGTAGCATCTTTTGATATTTTACTGTGTTTGGATCATCATTTTATGTAATATCCCTGTCATGGTAATTTCAATTTAATATCTACTTGTTTAATGTATTTATTTTTTGAAGGGCAATGGTTGTAGTGCTAATGCTAGAATAATAATAATATCTTTAATCACAATGGACTTATATCAAAGTTAAGTACATTGCTATTAAGTTTAATAATAATCATGTCTAACAAAAGTGTATCATAATTTCCATTCATTACTAAACTAAATGACATCCAAAGTTCAACATCTTCGTTTCAGAATACATTGACATTAAGTACATTTCCATTAGTTGTAGCGCTAGTTTCTATCAAACATAAGAAATTTACATCCAACTTCAACATGTTCAAAATACAATCTTAACAATGTACACCATAAACAAGACAATCATCATAACCTTATGATTCTTTAGCTTTTTTACATTTTATATTGCTTCTTCTTCATTTCAACATAATCATGTTTAAGCTCGAACAACTCTTTCTTAATTGCTTCAATATGATTGACAGGATCTTCATCATATACCCATTCGTAAAATTTGCAATTTTTTGAATTCTTGACACACACACACACACACACGTAAGGACAAGTTAGAAACACTATAGATTTTAATGTTACACTAACAATTGATAATAGTCAAAAGCATAGAAAAAGTCAAAAATTAGAAATCACCATTGAATTAGGGCACATCCTAAACTATTTTCCAAGGTTCTCTAGTGTTCTGAAGGTTCGAATCCAAGTTGGGAGCTCATAACCACAAAGAATATCATTTGATTTTATACACGGAGAAGACTTAGACATGCTAGAAGAAGTTGATATTTTGATCTTGGTGATGCAGTAGCTTCAATGCAATCTAGGGAAATTTTGGCTGCCTCAACTGTCATTTATGGATCTATGTATTCAAAATGCCAAGTATGATGCCAACTGGTTAGTGAGTATGCCACGTTTGAGTCCAAGTTAGTAAAATACATTAAAACCGGTTATATGGACCTTTTTTTGACAATTAAAACAAGTTAAATGGTCATTTTTTAACCAAAAAAACTATATTGACCATTTGTATACACGATATAAATTGTGCTACCCTCTCAAGTCATTGTACCTATTAACAAAGAATTAGGTAAGCGCTAGAGGACTGAATACAACATATTTACATAGGGACAATAGAACCAAGTAGATTACAATTACAGTCTAACCGATAAGTTGAAAGTTGACTACCTCTCTTTTAGATCCATAAAAAAAGAAAATATTAAATTCCTTCAATATGAGATAGCATGTACTTTGAGGCTCCCTTGAAATGTAGCTCGTCCATTGCATTCCCAATGCATGAAACCGTATCTTGGCTACTTTTTTTAGAGATGCTAGAATTGATGATAATAATTGGCTCAAATCATTAGATTGGTCAAGCATCACTTTCCACTAACTGTTTATCAAATCTTGAACCCAACCAGAAAAGGGGATGACAGAAACATGTGATATTCCAATTCTTCCTCAGTTACAAACATGCTACTCAAAATGTACGTTCATGCCTCGTTGCATCAAGTTTAGTTGAATGGAGATCTTTTGGATGCGAAGTAGCCAAGTGAATATGTTAAGTTTTAGCAAAACCTTATTATTCCATCAATCACCTCCTTCATAATATAATGAAGGTTGCATATATATATATTATATATATATATATATATATATATATATATATATATATATGTTAGAAATTATGTAACACCCCATTTTCATCTTACAGAATAATCTAGTATAAACTTCTATTTAAAAAAGGGAAAATTGCAATAAAGTCCCTATGTATTGCCCGTATAATCGATTTAGTCCTTATATATATATATATATATATATATATATATATATATATATATATATATATATATATATTTTTTGCAATTTAGTCCTAAATACCAACGTAATCAAAACGGGATATTTAATAGGTTAGCCGCTTTCCCACCGGTATTATGCGCATGTGGCACCTTACGTGTACAAGTGAGTTTTACCCTTCCATTTCCACTGCATTCGACATCTGGTAAATCGATTGAGAGAAAAAGTTTGGGTTTTTACAGAGTGATACATGAAGGAAGTAGGGTTTTACTGAGAGAAACGAAGGTAAAACCCAATGGCTATCAAATCAGTGGAAGTTCACCATGAGTCATCTGAAGAATACGACTTTGAAGAATACGAAGATGATGAGGAGGTGCTCGATACTGAGCACGTAGATGTGGAAATGAAAGAAGATGATTTCAAGACACAGGGTAAAGAGAGATGCAAGGATGATTTCCTTAACTTCAGTTCTGATTATGAAGATAATGAAGTCGATGAAGACAATGACTTAGTTGATGAAGATTAAGAGGGGTTTGGTTCATAAGAGGAAATTAATGACACACCAGGGGCTAATGATCTTGATTTGGGAGATGTGGTTGGTGCAGGCTTCCCCATTCACGACCCATCAATTAAGTGGAATATGATGAAGCCCCTTCTTGGTGAAAGGTATGAATCACCACATCAGTTGCAACAATGTCTCACTAATTATGCTATTAAGTCAGGGTATAACATTAAATTTGCGAAGTGTGACACTATGAGATTAATTGCCAAATGTGGTTCTAAGATGAAGTCTCAACCCTACCCAATTAGAGTTCATGCTTCCTGGATGACTCAAGAAAGGTCTTTTCAGATTAAAACCTTAGTCGATGAGCACAAATGTGTTAGAAATTTCAATATTTCAAATTTACTGAGTCCCAGATGGCTAGCAAGACACTTTTTGAAGGAGTTGATAATGAAACCTAACTTGAAGTGTAAGGAGATGCAATCGATAATTAGGACCAAATTTCATTATGGTGTGTCTTGGTCTAAGGCTTACAAAACAAGGTGTAGAGCAATGACCATTATAGATGGTAAACTCACAGAACATTATGCTAGGGTGTGGGACTATTGTCATGAGTTACTAAGGTCAAATCCTGGTAGCACTGTCCATGTTGGTGTCACTATAAATTCAGATCATACAACATACTTTCACAGGATGTATTTGTGTTTTAAAGCAATCAAGGAAGGTTGGAAAATAGGGTGTCATAGGGTAATTGGCCTAGATGGATCTTTCTTGAAAGGGACACGTAAAGGAGAATTACTCACAGCAATAGGGAGGGATGGAAACAACCAAGTTTATCCAATTGCTTGGGCAGTTGTTGACATTGAAAAAAAAGCTAATTGGAAATGGTTTCTGGAACTCCTCACAGAGGATCTTAATCTGCTAGATGGAGGAGGGTTTACTGTAATTTCTGATCAACATAAGGTTTGTAATTTCTTAGCATATTTATGATTTTTCCTTAACATCATATTATATGTTTATGTATTCATTAAATTGTAGGGATTGCTTGAAGCAACCAAGGAAGTCCTACCAAATGTGGAGCATAGACAATGTGCAAGACACATATATGCTACCTTTAGGAAGACCTATTCTGGAGTGGAGTTCAAGAATATGTTCTGGGCAACTTCCTTATCAACTGTAGAGAGTGAATTTCTAAGGAAAATAGATGATATAAAAGAGGTTAATCCAAATGCTTATGAACATTTGACTGCAAGAGATCCTCACACATGGTGTAGGGTATTTTTTAGGACTGATATAGCATGTGAGGTAGTTGAAAATGACATTGAAGAGTGCTTCAACGCCATCATATTGGATGCTAGAAAGAAACCCCTTCTAGAAATGTTTGAAGAAATTAGGTTGTACATGATGGATAGGTTCTACCATATGTTACAAAAGGCATAAAAAGTGGGAATCAGTGGTTTGTCCAGTTGCTATCAAGAAAATGAACAGGCTTGGAGAGGATTTGAGGTTTGTCTTAGCATTTTTATTGTTCCTTGTTATCATTATTTTAATTTCATTGTTATGATTTCATTTAGTAATGCCATTGTAGGAATTTGAATGTGAATCCAAGTGGACCATCTATTTTTGAAGCCAGGAATGGATTAGAAGGGTACGTGATTAACTTACAAAGTAAAGTGTGTAGCTGTAGGCTTTGGGATATCTCAGGAATTCCATGTGTACATGCACAATGTGCAATATTATTCACTGGACAAGATCATGTTCAATTCATAAGTGAGTGGTTTAATGTGGATAGGTTCAAGGCCATATATGCAAACAATATACTGCCTGTGAATGGTAGAAATTTATGGCCTAGAACATCATACATAAAGCCTTTACCCCCGTTTAGCTAGAAGAATGCCAGGGAGACCAACTCTGAAAAGAAATAGGCATGTCACTGAATCTCAAGACAAATAATCCCAAAATAAGATGAAGGTTACTGGAATAGGAATGACAGTCCAATGCAAAAATTATCTTCAAAGGGGTCATAACAAGGCATCCTGTAAGAATCCCATGGTCACACCTAAACCCCAACCCAAGAAAAAAATGGGTAGACCAAGATTGGATCCTAATATCAGTCATTATACTAGAGGTGGTGTTAGAGGTAGTAGAGGTGGTGCAAGGGGTAGTAGAGGTGGTAGAGGGGGTAACAGAGATGGTGCAGTGTGTAACACAGGTGGTGTAGTGGCTAACAGAGGTGGTACGGGTAGTAAGAGAGGTGGTAGGGGTAGTAAAAGAGGTGGTAGGGGCAGTAAGACATCTATTGGAATTGAAGGTGGTGGAGTGGCTGAAGTTGAAGGTGGAGGAGTTGAAAATGAAGATGACACTATTCTTGAAAAATATATAGTCCATTTATGGAAGGCAATGCAAGATTTGAAACTATCAGGGTGTTCAATAGAAGAAATTAAAAATTCACTTAGTCTAACAGATTCACATATGAAATAACTCAATGATTACAATGACACTATTGAACAAGTTCTTCCTATGTCTATGGTAAACCCTCTATATTACCTTAATGTTTACACTCATTTATGTTATTAATTGCTTGATGTTTTATAGGAAGAGGAGTATCCACCTCAGACTGAGACACAAGATGGGGCTGAAGAAATTATCCCAGAGACGAATCCAAAAAGTGAAGAAGAAGAAGAAAAAGAAGAAGGGATTAATGACACCCAGCAATTACCATTACACCTTAGGATTGTGAAAAGAAGAAGGCCTTCGGAGAGGATTGTTAAAACCAAGCTGAAGAAGATGGGATGTCTTGGGACTTCTGCAAATTCAACATTGGAGTTGGATTAGGGTGTTAGGGTGTTAAGGGTAGTAAGGGTATTTTGGTACATCTTTTGTGAATGCTACTTTTGTGCATATTTTGTGAATGCTACTTTTGTACATCTTTTGTGAATGCCCTTAAATTACTGATAGCCATATTTTGTACATCTTTTGTAAACACATTGAAACATTGTGAATGCCCTTAACATGGGTGGTAATGACATATTGGAGTTTGTTGTTTAATTATTTTAGCCACAAGTGTGCATACTTCATGGTTATACTTTTCAAGTGTACACCATTTATGCAAACTAAGAAGGGCACCAGCAACACCTCTGTAGTAAGATCTTGTTAATATCTAAATGATTCTTGACCAGCCTAACAAATAAATAAAGAAAAAAGAAGAGATTTTTTAAGATTTCTTTTTATAATAAATGTAACAAGGGAATAAGGTATAGAAGAAAAGAAGGAGACAAACTGTGTCCCAGATTTGGAGCTTTACTGGTTTGTTGTCAATGGTGATCATTCTAGCCCCAAGTTCAACACCAATTGTTAAATCATGGTTATATTTGTCAAGTGTACACCATTTATGCAAATGATAATAACATATTGCCATTTCATTAACCAAAACATTACATGATCCACAAGAACATTTATCTATTACATCATGATAACAAACCAAAAGATTACATCATCCCTACCATACCATAATACCCTACAACTTACACTAAACTAAGCATACATCATCCCTGCAATGAAACAAATGAAACAAACGATCATCCACTTGCATAATCCAAATTCATTACCAGGAACATGTGTATTCTCACGCATTACAATTTGATTATCAGGTTCAAGAGCATTCACAGGGGCAATAGGGACATCAACATTTATAGGGGCAATAGGGCCTCAACAGGTATTTCACCTTCATTAACAGGGTTATTGAAAGGAATAACTACACCCCCATTAGCAACAGCTCCTAATTCATACATTCTTTCTTTATACCACTTATTCAATAGTGGTGGGTCAATCCAACGAAAATACCCACAGTTCATCTCTTCATGCTACATAACATAGCAAGATGCATGTTTTTAACATAGACAAATGGGAATTTTAGAGGATTAGAAGAATTTGAGTGAGATTTGAAGATTCTATACCATGTAATTTGGGCAACCAAAAAACCCCCGACCTGGATTCTTTCGAGTCCATGATGTCCACATTCCAACCCTATCTCAACAATAGCACATTCTGATGTTGGTGCTTGAAGAACTCGACATCGATTTCCTGTTTCCAATTTACCCTAATCGTTCGCTCCTTTGACTGTTGAATGAAGAAGACGAGCTCAATTCATTGATTTAGCCCTCTTAAATGGCATGTAGGATGTTATTTAACATGATGACTTCCACGTAAGCTGCCACATCAGTTAGATACTGGCTAACCCATTAAATATCCCGTTTTGATTACGTTTACAGGTATTTAGGACTAAATTGAAAAAAAAATATAGGCGCTAAATCGATTATACGGGAAATACATAGGGACTTTATTGCAGTTTTCCCTTTAAAAAATTCGAAGTATAAATACATTACGTTTTCACAAATGTGTTGGATAAAAAAGTTGTACTAGACGAAAATATGAATATGTGGACATAAAGATTGTCAAAAACGGAGCTTGTATGAAGAATTTATGATTTTCATATGCTCATTTCACGATGTATTCCTCCTAAATATCAGAGTCAATATATACTACTTTTTAGCCAAATTAATATAAATAAGGTTTCATTTCCTCGTAAATATGAATCCATAGATATAAAGAAAACATCGACAACGAAACTCGTATGAAATGGTTATGAATTTTGCAAGGTCATTCATGGTATAATCTTTATAAAATATAAAGTTTAGATAGATTGTGAAGTAGTTGGTAAGATATAAAGAAAAGTTGTAATACTGAGAATTAGGAAACTGTGAATATAAAACATGGCATGTCTAGATATGAAGAAGTGCGAGTTTTATTAAGGTCAACACGATGTGTTGCCTCTTAAAACACGACGTGTTGATGGATGGAATGAAAACCCTAATCTTCCAGGTTTTGTTTTCTATGTAAAGGAATAAGATGGATATGATTTGTTCATCCTCATATCCTTAAGCCCTGAAGGGAACCCTAATCATCTTTCCCTCCCATTTTGAGCTAGTTTGGTGTTTTCAAAGCTAAAGAAGGAAAAAGGTGGAGGTACGAAGCAGGGATCCAACAAGCAAGCCCTCATTCTTCAGTTTGGCACTCTTCTGGACCTTTGTTAGTGTCCAATACTCTATTTTTATCATTCCAAGTTGCTAGATCATGAATTTTGTTCCTCTAGCTTCTTATTCTTGATTGATGGAATGGTTAGAGCTCATAAAGTTGGCAACTTTATGAATCTCCAAGTCAATAGGAGTTAGTAGTGTTTTGGATCTCGATTTTAATCAAGTTTTGATTCCATGCTTAAAGATTAGGTCATGAATCCCCATTTTCACTTAATTCGGGTTCAAAACATGCATTAGACATGTATGGCTATAAAGCACCAACCTTTGGGATGGTTTTGGTGTTTAAGTCACTTCTAGAAAGGCTGGACCTCAAACTTTAAGGATTAAGTGTTTGTTAGTTACACTTTTGCATTATTAAGCTTAATGGGTTGAGTTTTGAACCTTTTTAGGTAGTCCCAATGGATAAAGTTGGAAACTTTATCCTTTTGGACCAGATTATAGACTATATATGAGCTTTGGAGCTCTTGGATTCGGAGAAAACAAGTTAATGTAATAAGCGATTGAATCTCAGGAAAACACGATGTATTCGCAAGTCAACACGACTTATTGGATGGGGTTTTCTGACTATTTAGATGATGGCGAAACACGGCCTGGCCACAAAACACAATGTGATTGGTCAACATGGACTGTTGATTTTGAATTTCATCAAAAGTTTGATCAGGGTTGACCAAGGGATATTTTGGGCCATGTTAGGGCCTTATTGGATTATTTGGTATGGGCTTAAGTCCTAGCTCAAACTAGGTAAGGGGTAAATTGGTCATTTACCCTATTAATGGTCTGATGGTTAAAATGGGAATCCAATTATTAGTTGAATGTTATTTGATATTGATTACTCAGGGATCAGTCAGCCAGCAGCCATGAATTATCTGTGAGATACGGTAGTATATATGAGTTTCCTTACTGGGTTTAGCAGGTCGAAGGCACTAATTCGGCCCATGTTTTATATGTTGGGATGCTAGATGCATGCATAACTGTTGCATGTGTTGTGTAATGGTATGCTTACCGGGTAAGGCCTAGTGCCAGGTGGGACCTGATAAGTAAATTGTATTCCAGTCATTAGTATCAGTTTTTATGCATATCGGGCGAGACGTGATACCAGGCGGGGCTCAATGATTGTATGGTATGCTATAGAGTTTTTGATCATTGGATGTGCTACTAAGGTTACATGTTTATATGATTATATGGTTATATGATTATCTGTGTATCGGGTGGGGGCCAATGTCATGCAGGGCCTAGTGATCGACATATTTGTAATCCGAGCGGGGCTCGATTCCGGGCGAGGCCTGAAGCCAAGCGGGGTTTGATGTTGGGCGGGGTCTGAGGCCGAGTGGGACTCGATACAGGGCAAGGCCCGATGGAGGACGGGAGCCCAATATGTGTTTTATGTTTGAATGGTATGTGGTGTCTTGGGGAACTCACTAAGTTGTGTGCTTACTATTTTAGTTTATGTTTCAGTTACTTAGGTTTTCAAATGGAAGATCTTAGATGATTGCAGATCACACACCATATGTTTTCGCATTCTGTGATTTAGTTTGATTTGATGATGTCTTGATAAATTTTAATTACCTTGGTTTTTTGGAAATGATGTGTAGTAACGATTTATTTATCTAAAAACGAAAATTTTTATGGTCTTATTTTTGGGACGTTACACCTGGAGTATTCCATACTCATAAGGATTAAGATTTAGGAAAAAAAAAGGTGTAGCTTTTAAGCTAGAATAAGATCTAAAGGAATACTCATCAAGTTTCGAGCTTTGTACCTCCAAAAGATGCACAATGGATAGTAGATGTTGGATCCAAGGCCTTAAGTGAAACACCACAAGTTAAAGATTCTTTTTTCACCACTAAGAGAACCAAAGTGGAACCAAAATGACACTCCAAGCTTCAAAGACACTCATAGACTTTAGGGTTTCAAAATAGAGATTACCGGTAGAGTTAAGGAAGGGATAGGGCTATAATGATGCTTAAATAGGGTCCAAATCCTAAAATTTAGGGTTTGTACCTTGACCATGTACGCCCAGTCTACACAAGCATGGCCCAAAATTATGAAAATGCTAATTTGGACTAAATTTGCTAACCATACTTAAACCAAAGGTCAAAATGAAATACCTAGAAGTCAAGATGATACATTTTAATACTAGCATCTCTTTGTTCTTTATCATGAATCACTCATTGGTTATGGGATCTTCCTCAATTTTAATATTGGAAAGAATTCCTATGATGAGCATATCTCAAATAAATAATGCATCAATTTAAATAAGTTGTTATTCTCGTAAAATGTAGACTAGTCAAATAAGGTTCCCTTGCATCATTATGTTTGTGTATTCGATGTTACAAAAGAATTCTTTGAAGTTGTGAAAATCTGAAATGAATTTGCAATTAAGTG